AAAAAAAAAAAAAAAAAAAAAAAACATCTGTAAGCACTTTGGTAACATCAGCTTAGCCTCTGAACTTTTTTAAGAAAAGCAATTTTCAAGTGTCGTATTCAATTGGATAGCGCCTTTTTGATGCCTTGGAAGAAAAAAAGAAAAAAAAAACTAGTGTTTGAAGAACAGAGTGTATTAAGGTTTATTTGTTGAACCTTTTTTTTTGACAAACTTTCATTGTTAGCTGCATAGATGTGTGCATAGATGTAAATTTAATTTTCTAATGGGATATGCATGTGACTTTTCATGAAGGTTATGTTTGAGAAAAAGGATTTAAAAAAAAGTGAAATGGGCATGTAAATGTGCATAAGATGTAATAATTGCTTTTGATAATACCACTGAACAATGTTTATCAGTAATATGATTGTTATAAAATTGAAAGAAGTTTTAACATTAATAAATTAGACGTAATAATAGTGGTCAAAAGATGACGACAATTCAGCATGTATCACAAATTCAGTTTTGTAGAACAAAAAACACGGAGTTGTCTTTTGATTACATTCTTTCTATAGTTTTTTTTTTTTTCACTGTTAATTTTTAACGTTCCGATAGCATCTGAAGGCGCTATTACTATTCTAAGATTAGATGTCGTACAAATTACAATATTGGCCGATATAGTTCTGCAGATATAGTTTTAGCACAATTATCCTACAATGAAAAGGAAGAAGAGAATGAGTGATTCAGCTGATGATGAAAAGAAAGAAAAAAAAGATAAGAAGAAATTCTTTTGATAATATTTTGTTTCGTTTAATTTCAGAAATACTTAGAATTTTGTCGTCCCCTGAGACATGTAACCCAACAATCGTTTAAAAATTTCATTTTTTACATGAAATTTTTCCTTTTTTTTTCTGCTTATCAAACTTGAATTATGGCTTTATTAGTAATTGAAAATAATTTTCTTCTGAATTTATTTCTCCAGCAATCGTTTTTTTCCCAGCGGCCATATGAGGAAAGAAACTTGTTTTTTTTTTTTTCTTACACTACTGACATTTTTTCAAATTTCAGTTGACAGAGGGATAGGAAAAAAAACTGGTCAACAGATTTACATTCCAACGAGTGTATAAATGGCCGTTTAGCGGTATGTGAAGATGAATCAAAAAAAAAAAAAAAAACAAAGAACAAAAGAAGTATTTTGAAATATTTTTGGAAATTTATTTTTTTGGAGGAACCTTTGTATAGTTTTTTCTTCCTGTAAATATTTGCAATTTTTAGAATTTAGCAAATTTTAAAGCCAAAAATGAATTGATCACTTAGACATCTTTTAGTGATCAAAGTTTTGCTGTTTTAATTTAATATTATTTTTTGAATCCAAATGTTAAGCTGTTGGCCAAATTTAATGCTAAATGGTAATATTGGGCAACAGAAAAAAAACATTTTTGCATTAGACACTTTTTGAATAAGTTTGCTTTTTTTTTTGCATTTTTATTATGTTCTTTATTGTTTTTATATACTTTAAAAAATTTCTTCTACATTTGTCAAATATGAAAATTTGTTTTTTTTTTTATGAGTGTAAATTTTACTGATTAAATGTCAGCTAAAACAACAACATCAGTAAACTGAGCAAAAAAAAAAAAAAGAAAAAAGTTATCGACAACTACTCACCAATTCTTTGGTGATCATTTGTTCAGTGTTTGAAAGTATTTTTTTTCCCCCCCAATAACTTCATCATCTCTTAGTTTGAATAGGCAAAACAAACGTATAAATACAGCCTTTGTAAACTGAATTGTTGCTGAAGTGATATTTTTTGACATAAAAATATTTTGAAATGTCTTCGGTTTTTTTTTTTTTTTTTCTATATTTATTTGCTTATTCTGATCGTTATGTTTTGAAGGAATTGATAGAATAATCTAAAGGGATTTTTTTTTTCAAAGATTTCTTTGAAGGTTTCTTCTTCTGCTACTTCTTTTTTTTTTTTGACACCAATATTAATCATTTAAGTATAAGTTTTTAAGTACAGTACATTTTTTTTTTCAAATTAATTAAAGCATTATATAACCAGAAAAGAAAAGTTGAGGGAGAAAAGTGAAAAGAATTTAAAGAGTTATTAAAGAAAAATTTGATGACAACAATTGATAGCTGGAAAATTTAGAGGAATTCTTAGATTAGCTGTATAGTTTTTTAGCGCTAATCACTTCTGCATTAATTTTTATTTCCACTTTTTGGTTTAATTGTGTACTGTTTAGACGAATGTGAACTGTAAGTACCACTTGCTACTTTTGCCTCTTTACCATTTTTAATTTACATTATTTGGGGAAAAAATTTTATGGAAATTTTTCTTTAGTGTTAAAAAAAATAAAAAAAAAAAGAGGGAATTTTGATTGATACAAGAATAACTATTTTTTTTATCAAAACTGTTTTATAGAAATTAGAAGGTATCAACACAAATCGAAAATGTGATTTTCGAGATTCTAGCACCTGGTCAAATGTTGAACTGGTGGATACGTTAAAACAAGAGCTTCGAACTTGTCAGCAAGGCGAAACTGTAAAGGTTTGCAAGTTTTATGCCATTTATAATTGATTATCATCTCAAAAGTATTTTTTTACGATTAACTTTCTTTTTTC